CCCGCCCTCCCAGCTCCGACCAGCACCTGCTCTGAGTGCAGATTCTTGTTCTTTTCTCTGCTGGTTCCGTCCAGGAGGCCGTTCTGGCTCCACCACGTCCAGGCGCGGGACGTCCGGCACCCGACCCTCGGCGTCCACACCGCACAGTGGGGGCCGTGGCAGCCTCCCGCGTGTGCTGACACCGCCCCGGAGTGGGCGCCCTCGAGAGTACAGATTACTAATCGCACCGCCCTGCCCCCATGACTGAGAACCGCTACCAAAAATCTGCTTTTCCGTGTGTCCTCAGTTCAATTTAAACTGGAAAAAAGGGCGGTTCACATCGGGTGGAAAAGAAGTAAATACCCGTGTGCGCTAAGCTCCAACAGCCACCCCATTCTTTGGAGGAAACCCAGAGAGCTGGCCAGGGGCTCGCTCCGCCCCCTGTGCCAGTGTCAGGGGCCTGGACGGCTCAGACAGGGCTCCGGGGCTGGAATTTCCTCCAGCACTGGGGGGGTCCAAGCCGTCCGGGGACACTTGCCCTGCAGGAGGGACACTCTGTCCCAGAGACAGGGATGAATAAGGCCCTTTTTGTGCAGGGGCGTGAACGGTGGGGTCAGCGTGCAGAGGCAGGGCTGGAGACTGCAGGCAAGATTTGCAGGCACTCGGGCAGGGTCGAGGGTCAGATGGGGTTGGATGGCTTGGGGGGACAGCAGCCAAGGACCGTGGCCCCACATGAGGTGCTGTGGATGGGGATGCAGAGTGGAGGTGGGGTGGGAGGGGCAGGCTGGACCCAGGGCAGCTTAGCCTCTGTTTCATCCCGTGTTAGGTTCTGAGCACCAACTTTGTACCACATGTGGGTGGTGTGGTCATCGAGCCAAGGGTGAAGTTCTAGATAAAAACAAAAGATTCGGTAAAAAAAAATCCAAGTGATTCCAAAAATCTAGACGTTACGCGTCATCTAGACAGAGTGCGGCGGCCTGGGTGGGCCTCCCCGTTGGCCAAGACCGTCACAGAAGGTGAGCGTGACACCCTTGTCATGGGGCTGGAGGGTCGTGCCCGAGGGGCCTCCCGCGCCCTCTTCCCGGTGGTTCACCAGAGAGGCGGCCGCTGGGCCCCCTGCACGGCTGGGCCTGGCCACGGGGGAGACGACAGAGCACATCTGTGTGCGCCCACGTGTCTGTGACCTCACCCTCCAGGCTCACAGTGTTTCCAGCCTCCCGCCCCTGCGGACGCCCACGGGTGCGTGGTCCCACCGCCCGCGGGCAAGGCCTGACTCGGCCTCCAGTCCGCACGTCAAGGAGACATTCTGGAAGGGAAGATGGCTCCCGGCCTGGCAGGAAAGAACCCCGGCGGTCCCCACGCCCGCCCGGCCCCCGGGGCCCGCGGCGGCAGAGGCGGGCTCCGCAGCAACACGCCTCCGCGGTCTTGTGTTTCAGGTGAGCAGGGTGGAGAGGGAGAAGAACCAGGAGCTGAGGCAGGTGCGGGAGCACGAGCAGCACAAGAGCGCCGTCCTGCTCACCGAGCTGAAGACGAAGCTGCACGAGGAAAAGACGAAGGAGCTCCAGGCCGTGCGGGAGGTGCTGCTGCGGCAGCACGAGGCCGAGCTGCTCAGGGTCATCAAGATCAAGGACAACGAGAACCAGCGGCTGCAGGCGCTGCTGCACGCGCTCCGCGACGGCGCCCCCGACAAGGTCAAGACCGTGCTGCTGTCTGAGGCCAAGGAGGAGGCCAAGAAGGGGTTCGAGGTGGAGAAGATCAAAATGCAGCAGGAGATCTCTGAGCTCAAGGGGGCCAAGAGGCAGGTGGAGGAGGCGCTGACCATCGTGATCCAGGCCGACAAGATCAAGGCCGCGGAAATCAGGAGCGTGTATCACCTCCACCAGGAGGAGATCTCCCGCATCAAGAAGGAGTGTGAGCGGGAGATCCGCAGGCTGGTACGTGCTGCGGGGTCGCGGGGCGGGGGCTGCTGGCGG